CAAAGGGCGGGAAAGGGCAGGGGGGGGCGGGGCGACCGGCCCGTCGACGGCCGGGCGTCGCTCACCTGGGTTGTCTCCGGTGAAGGCCACCACCTTGCACGCGTCCGAGAAGCTGAACCTGCGCACCCAGTAGGACGACACGGCACCCTGACGGATGGTCACGCCGGGTTAGCGGGGGTCTCGGGGGGGGTCGGAGGACCCGCTCGGACCGCCGTCTCACCAGCACGGAGGCAGAGGGCAGCGGCGTTCCCAGCAGGACGTCCAGACCGGGACACACGGCCTCCAGCAAGGCCTCGTTCCACGTTTTGCTGCGGATGTCCAGAAGGTTCATCCCGGAACCTTGGAGAGGGAAGCGGGCCACGTGCTCAGTCAGTCGGCGCAGGACTCCGGAACGACAAAGCTGGATCCCGTCCGTCCCTTTGAGTCAGGAATTGCGGGAGCTTGGCAAAAATCTGGGATTTGGGTCGCTTTCGAAATTGCCTCGCGGCAAAAATGCAATTTCGGAGCCACTCGACTTGCATTTGAGTTGCCGAGCCGTCCTCGCGAGCAAATATGAATGACAAAAGGATTTCACTCCAAATTCCACACTGCCCCGCCCAAGCGTTGTGACATCATCGCGATGACGTTCGGTCACCCACCATCGCTGTAGTCGATGGCGGCGTAGCCGCCAAGGAAGAGCGACGCCGCAAAGCTGCTGACCAAAGAGATCCTCTGAAAGCGAGGTCACACCAAGGTCAGTCGGGGCGCATCTGAGGCGGGGGCGGGGCTAAAAGCCGGGCAGCCGACGGACCTCGGTGTCCTGGAACTCTCGCGGCCGTCCCTCACGCATCTTGGCAATCTGACTTCCTGTGAAGCGCTGCGCAAAGCCAAACGTGTCACCGGCAGAGGAGCTGCGCGCGCGGGCGCTTGTGGGGAGCACCTCGTAGGCCCTGGAGCCCGTGATGTCTGCCAGCTTGCCGGCGCCCCCCGCCGCCTGCTGCAGGCGCTCACACTGCAGCCCGCTGCTCGAGTCCATCCACACGGGACAGTCGCGCACCGAGAAACAGTCCTGAAACACACCAGCGAGCACTCCAGCACAGGAGGCGGACGCGCGCGCCGGGTCATCGGCGGGCCCGCCGGACAAAGTGGTCCCGAGAACGCTCGTCGGCCGGCGTTCGGCCGAGCAAGCGGCAATACCTTGCCACTTTCTCGCGAAAGACGGGCAGGTCGACGCCCGCGCCCTCAATCCGCTCGATGGAGCGGCGAGTGTCTCGCATAGGCAAACGGCGATCACCTTGAGCTGGCGGCCGAGGCCGTGCTGGTGGCGGAGCCCCCGGAGGACGGCGGCGGCTCCGTTCTTCCAGTACACGCTGCCGTGTTGCTGAGAGGATGAGAGCGGGACGTTGCCCACGATCCACTTTGACTGACATGCGGCAAGAGGCGCGAGAGCAAAGGTCACCGGGTCACCTGACCGCTGCCCGACAGCGCCCGCACCCGGGAGAAGTCGAAGCCCGCTTCCTGCATCTGCTCCAAAAGGAGGTCCAGAGCCTGAAGACCGGTCGAGAATATCAATCGGCGCTTGAAGGCGGGTCACGTGACCGCGCGGGCGCACTCGTACCTTGACCCACATCAGGGCGGGCGACGTCACCGTCAGGCCGTCCGCACCCACGTGGACGCCCCCCTCCGTCCTGCACGCCAAAATCCAAATTCTTTGTCCGATGGATGGGCAGCAAAGGATGTCGACAACAAGTGAACCCGACCTACATTCGGCCTCGTGGCTTACAGTCAAACTATGCAAATGAATAGTGTACAATCAACGGACTGGATGTCGAATAGACGCTCCGCAGCGAGCAGCTGAATGTACGTGTGCGCACACGTCACTCACTCCAAGTCAACTATTCAAACTAGTTCAATGGATGTCACTTGGACGTTGTCTTGAGAGGGATACGGCACATTTGACAATCAAGTTGAACTTGACTTGACTTTATCGAGACCCGACAGCTAACTTGACGTCGGTCATTTCTATGAAGTGCGCGTTGTGTCTATCGCAGCATGACACCGAGTGTGGACGCGTTCATGTACCCGAACTCCGGCAGCTGAGAGTCAAAGTGCACTTGGCTCTGATGGATGACGTTCAGGTCGCGATCGATGGCGACCACCTTTAACTTCACAAACAAGTTGACAAAGATGGCGTCATTGGAATGGGGTTCATCAATAGCTTTTTGGACCTGTGTTACGATCCAAAAAACACTCCGAAACTTATTACAGTTCCAAGATGTTTACACGCGACGGCGTTCGTTTCTTACCTGCTGAGTGCTGAAGTCGAAACCGAGGTACGCGTCGCTATCTCCGACGGCCGCCATCTTGCGTTGACGCGCGCTAGGAGGAGGGGCCTTTTTTTAAAGGAGGCGGTGCGCTTCCTGATTGGACGATTCGTTGCCGGGCAACTGGACGACGCTCATCATGGCGGGCGCTTCGTCGCTTCGATGTCGGCAGTTTGAACGATCACAATCACAAATAAATGACAAGATGATCGCACGGATAACCGCTAATGAGAATGCTGCGAATCTGAACAATAGCTCCTGCTAACAACACCAAGTGATTATACATGTCAAAGAAAGGAGACCCGTTTATTGATCACTTGAACAACTTTTTTTCCCCTGTAGACAAATGGACACACAGCATAGAGTTGAGTGCCATGCACGCGTGCAAATCAGGTCAGGCACTTGATCCTTCACGTTGGCCGAAATGTCCGCTGCCAATCAATCGCATTGACAACCAGCGCACGGTGGCACGCCACCACAGTGACACTCCTTGCGGTGGGTCCCGACGCTTGCCGTCACAGCTCAAAGCTTCGCTTTGGCCTGAAAGAAGCTCATGACGGCGTTGAAGCACTCATCCGACATCCATCGCTCTATCAGACGGTCCACCTCAGCGTCATTGACGGCGTGGAGGCGCTCTTTCTCCACCGAGCGGATCAGCTGCTTGGACAGCGCCAGAGACTAACGGAACACACACACCGACAACGTTACGCGCGGCCTTACGAGCTCACGACTCCTGCTGGGGGCGGGAGAGGTACGGTTTGCTTTTTCAACCGGAGCGATGAGCCAGCCAGACGCCGTGGTCACGAGAACATTTTTTTTTCTTGGCTCGTTCGGCCCGGCGTCTTAAGGTTTGCTGTGGCCCCGGGCCAGGCCGTTGTTAATGTCAAGCCGTGCAAAACAACGCGTATTGTCGAAAATGGTCTTTTTGTTCTGGTGTTGATCCCCCTCTGCCGTGAACTGCGTGCGTTTGTTTACATTGGGAGGTAGCTTGGCGTAGTTCTTCAGTCGGCTCCAAACTTCCGCGTGGAAGCTGCTGTCAGGGAAGACTTCCGTGACCAGACCCAGCTGGCATGCCTGGAAGGCCGTGAGCTTCTTGTTGAACAGCAACATCTCATTGGCCTGTACAGACGCGCGCGCGCGCGCACACACCGCTGTCAATCACAAGTGCGCACGTGCGCGTGCACGGTTCTCGTGCAGGTACCTTGCCGAGGCCCATGATGCGAGGGAACGTGTATGACGAGCAGCCTTCCGGACTCTGGCCCAGTTGGCTGAAGGGCGTGTGGAAAGTAGCCTAAATATTACAAATGGTTTCATGACTTTGATTTGGAATAAACACAAATCACTAGTTTGCCGCATGCGTGCGTGCGTGCGTGTGCGGGCGCATACGCTCTCCGTTGCGTAGACCAAGTCAAACATTCCCATGACGGTGACGGAGATTCCCACGGCCGGCCCGTTCACCACCGCCACGAGCGGCTTGGGGAAGTCGATGAAGGCTTTCACGTACCTCCTGTCCACGGGGGGGCGGCGATGAGCGACAATCTTACCCTCCATCCCGGCACCAATCGACGGATGGGCGAGCGAGCGAGCGATCACCTGAGCAGCTCCCCGCCGGCTTTGGCCATCTGCTCCGCACCTCCCTCGGGGATCTTGGTGAAGTTGCTCAGGTCATTGCCGCTGCAGTAAAAATCCCCGGCGCCTGGCAAAGCACCCGAACGGACACGTGCACCGCCCGGTGACACAATGCGTGTGCTTCCACTGAAAAGGGAGGCGCGCGTGCGCGTGCGTGTGTTACCAGTAAAGACGGTGACTACCGAGTGGTCGCGGGCTGCGTGCTGCAGAGCTTCAATGATCTCCTCATACATCTGAAACATACGCGACATGGCAGCTCCGTGTTAGGTGTGACATCTCAACTCTTTTATCTCCAACTCACGGAAGCGCATGGGAACAAAGTTAGGCCGTTTAGTTCTCAAACAAGGAGGGGGATGACGATGATGAAGTTTGCGAGGATGGGTCGGCGTCACCTGGGTGGTGATGGCGTTCTTCTTGGCGGGGCGGTTGAGCACGATAGTGGTGATGTCATCCTGCGTGCTGACCAACAGGGAGTCGTACGTGCGGCCGCCGGCGGAGGACCGGGCGGGCGCTTGGGCGGCGGCTCCGCCTTCTGCCGCTACCAGGGAGCCAATCAGATCGCAGTACCGCTGCCGGGCCTCCTCCTATCAATCACATTTGAGATCTTGGACATTTGCCATGAAAAACAAACCAAAATGGTCACGATGTGCACTTTGTGGAATGCCACGCAACATGCCGCGAGGCACATCATGCGACGTGTCTTGCAACACGCCACGTGACTGGCAGGAAGCGGTCGAAAAAAGGTGAAAGCCCAGAAAGTGCCCGGACCTGCGTCATGGATCCCAGAGACTTCCACGAGTCCCACTTGGCCTTGTTGATGAAGTCCAACATTCCGGGTTTGGGGGTGTCACATGGACCGTGCGTGGCCTGTCATTTGAGTCACAAAGAAGCCCATCCTGTTCACGAATGCTGAAAAGAAAGCTGAAGAGATGTTGTCCGCGCTGACCTGTTTGAAGAGAGCGTAGATCTTGAGCTTGACGTCATTCCCGGGATCTTCCTTCAACGAGGAAAGTTTGTTCTTGGCCTCCTCAAAGTGCTCCTGGGTCACACCTGAACGCAACCGCACTCATGTTAGCACGGGTGGCTAACGCGACCCGCGCCGCGTGTCGGAGGAGCTCAAAAGGGCGCCTCACCCCTCGCCCAAGTCTTGCTGGCGTGGAAGCTCATGGCGGGAACGCCGGACAATCGCCACAACCTGATCACAACACGCAACCGCAACATGTCAACAACAACGCAACGCGCCAACGTCTCAACTCCAAAGGCCAGTGAGTGCGAGGACGGACAGAGGACTTCCTCTTGACTTTTGTTCTATCACACCATGGTGCCTCTCGCTCTTGTCTTACTCCCTGACATTCGCTGATGTTTCTGTTTGCTAGCTTCCCAGGATGCATTGCGTGACGTCCTCACTCCATCCATCCATCATCTGATCCGGGTCTCCTGTGGAGGGTCGCAGGCGTGCCGGAGCCCATGCCAGCCGATTTGGGGCAGTAGGCGGGGTACACCCCGAACGGGCTGCCAGCCCATCGCAGGGCACACACACAGACAGAATAACAAGCGTTCGCGCTCGCTATCACACCGAGGGACACTTTGGAGCGCTCCCTCAACCTGCCATGCACGTTTCGCGGGACGAAACGGGAGTACGTGCAAACGTCACGCAGGAAAGCCGGAGATGGAATCGAACCCTGCACCTCCGCACTGTGAGGCGGGGGGGGGGGGCTCACCAGTCGCTCACCGCGCCCTGACGTCCTCACTCCTCTGCCCAAAAGTGCCACTCGACTCGACCGGGTTCCTTTCTCGTCTTTCTTTGAAACGCATCAGTTCACTTTTCGCTCCAGTGGGCTTTCTCTTGACGTTTTAACGAACGCGAACTTCGCCCTCGGCGGGCATTTCCGCGGAAGTGAAAGAAAAACTCACCGACTCGTTAATGTGAAGCGTGTCAGCGCCATCAAAGTCATTTGGAGGTTGGGGGGAGAACAAGAAGGCAGGACCAAAAGCCGAAAGAGAGGCACGGGGCAAACAAGGTTGACACGGTGACGGGAGGAAATCAAACACTTCCGGGTCCTGTCCGCTTTTTTTTCTTTCTATGTATTTTCAGATGTATTTCATTGACAGACTACAAGACATGTTCTATACATATGAATAAACTGCAATTATGAATTCTGTTTTGATATGGAGACCGTGGTCTCGTAAGCCGAAATAAAATCATTTCACTGAATATGTAAACGTCTTTTCGAACGAATATGTCAAGTTGCTTCGCTCTGAGTGACGATATCACGCAAAAAGAAGAGCAATCCGAAATGCTCCTCAGCCATCACTTTCCATCGCGGCTTATTTGCTGCTGCTTGTCCTCATCGGGGTCGCCAGCCGGTCACAAAGAATGGCTCGTCGTGCTTCCTACTTTCTTATGTCAAATTGTTGTTCCGAGCGTAACTTGGCGCTTTGTTTTTCCCCAGTCCAATTTTCATTGAAGAGCGAACGGAAATTTTTTTTTATTGTGAAACTGTGCACCGGAAGTCATTGAACCGACAGCAACGACATTTCCGCCTGTCTTGTTTTGGTGGCTGTAAAAGTAGGGGTGGATAAAACAAAAGATCGACCTGATGTTTTAAGACAATGAGCGACGAGCACTACTTGGAGCTTTGCGACAATTTGGTCCACTTTGAAAACGCTTCGAGCGTCAACAATGTTTTCTTCGACGAAGCCAATAAACAGGTCAGCTTCCGCTAGCTTCAACTTCGAGTCAGCTGACTAGTGGCGGCAACGAAGCCGCAAAAAAAAAAAAAACAACGCCATCCAACAGCATATCTTGCGTGTGTGTTTGAGATGTTTGTCCTAACAAGAAGCCGATGATGGTCTGGTGCTGCCTTCAGGTGTTCGCGGTGCGTTCCGGGGGCGCCACGGGGGTGGTCGTCAAAGGTCCGGACGACAAGAGTTCGGTTGCCTTCAGGCAAGTCAGAGGCGCCCCGCGATTGTTCGTCATCCTTATTTTTATGAGAGCTCGGGCTCAACATTTGTTTTGCGTGCAGAATGGAGGACAAAGGAGAAGTCAAGTGCATCAAATTCTCCATTGGGAACAAAATTCTTGCCGTGCAGAGAACGTCAAAGTCCGTGGTGAGTCGACCTTGAACTGTTTGTAGGTGCGTGACAATTGCCGAGTTGCAACCCGAGTACAGCACGGCAGAAACGGGTTTGTTTCCTTTGCGTGCGGGGGACGACGGCAACAACACGGCCCGTCTTTCAGGACTTCATCAACTTCATCCCCGACTACCCGCACACGGAGTTCACGCACGAGTGCAAGGTGAGCCGCCCGCACAAAGCGACCGATCCCGGCCGGGCCCGTCCGAGTGACGCGTGGTCGTGCGGTGCGTCTTCAGATGAAGAACGCCGACCTCCTGGGGTTCTGCTGGACCACCTGGAACGAGATCGTCTTTGTCAGCGACCAGGGCATCGAGTTCTACCAGGTAGCGCCTCGGCCGCCTCTGCGCTCCTTTCAGGGCCGAGCCCCGCCCACACGCGTCTCGCATTCAGGTGTTTCCCGACAAGCGCGCTCTCAAATTGCTCAAGAGTCACAGCCTCAACGTCAACTGGTACCAATACTGCCCCGAGACCGCCGTCATGCTGCTGTCCACCACCGTGCAGGCCAACGTCCTGCAGCCCTTCGCCTTCCGGGTCAGGCCTCGCGACCGCACGCGGCGTTGACGCGCCAACGCCTTGCCGCCGCATCTAACTCTGCTCGTGTGCGCGTGTGTGCCCGCACATCAGGGCGGGAGCGTCGCCAAGATGTCCAAATTTGAGATCGAGCTGCCCGTTGTCCCAAAACCAGCCAAACTCAGCCTATCCGAGAGGGATGTCGCCATGGCGACCATGTAAGTCACTCCAATGCGTATCCGGGCGCACGTCTGACCTCGGTTCAAGGACTCGAGCGTGTGTTTTAGTTACGGTCAGTTGTACGTGATGTACCTGAAGCATCACTCCAGGAGCGCCAACAGTCCCGGTGCCGAGGTGGCGCTCTACCACTTGCCGAGGTACGTGCGCGGGCGCACGCAGAAACACACGCGCGTGTCTCTTCAAGCGTTACATGTGTGAACGCGCGTGTGCAGGGAGGGCGCGTGTAAGAAGACCCACGTGCTGAAATTGAACACAACCGGCAAATTTGCTCTTAACATCGTCGACAACCTGGTGGTGGTCCATCATCAGAGCTCTCAGGTGCGTGCGCGTCCGCGCGGGATCACGTGCGAAAGCGGCGTGACACGCGTGCCCGTTTCAGACGTCGCTGATGTTCGACATCAAGTTGAAGGAGTCGGACGGCGCCGTCAGCACGCATCAGCCTGTGCTTCCCGCTCGCTCCATACAGCCATGCCACATCCCGCACGCAGGCACGCACGCACGCAGACGGACACACCTTGATAACGAGGATGTCATTCATGAAAATGTTCTGCTGTCGTTTGAAGGTCCGGCCGTGGTTCCCTCGCAACTTCCTGTCCCGTGTCAACTGTGTATCCTTCCATCGTATGCGCGTACGCGCGGGTGCGTTTGTTGTCCGACTTGACCGTCACGCAGACTCGTCTTCCTGGGGCGTCTTCCAGCCTGACATCATCATCAGCGCCAGCGAAGGTCTGTAAACGCAACACACACACGCAGACACACACACGTGCTGATTGATGGATGAATGGATTGATTGACAGGTTACCTGTGGCATCTTCGCGTCAAGTTAAGTCCGACAGTCAACATGCTCCAGGACAAAAGCAAACTGATGGACTTCCTGTTACGACGCAACGACTGCAAGATGGTCATCCTGTCTGTCTGCTCGCAGCGTATGTCTGCCCGCCTGTCTGGCTTGCTCGCCATGCGTCACGACACTCTTGTCGACAGCACGGTGACGGGTCGCCTCCGGTGTGCTAATTGCTAACATGAGCGTGCGCGTGTGCGTGTGTGTGCGCGCGCACGTAGTGGTGGAAGGCGAGCGGCGAGCAAGTCTTCCCGTGGTGGCGAGCGTCTTTGACAAACTCAATCAGGTGTACAAGGACTTCCTGGAGGCGGAGCAAAGCTACAGTGCGGTGAGTGAGTGATGCCACCCAAAAGGGAGGAGCCGGATGACATGCGAGCGCGTTCGCAGGCCGTGGAGGCGGGGCCGGCGCGAGGCGGAGTTCCTCACAAGCGACCAATCAGAAGCCAGGCGGTCATCGACCAGTCGGACATGTACACGCACGTCTTGTCGGCGTTCACCGAGAGGAAGGTACAAACCACTTGAAGGGAACGCGTCGTTTCGCTCGCTCGTTCTCGGCCTCACCACTTGATTGGGATCTGGCCGTACGTACTGTCGGGGGACCTCGACACTTCCTTTCAGATGTCCTCCCAACGTCGCTTTTTGATTGATGAGGGAGTCGGCCACATATTTGCTGTTCCAACATTATGATGAAGCAACATCGGCCAGAGGAACTTTTTTGTTTTGTTTTTTTTAAAGCCAAACCAATCCAAACTTTTCACTCGGTGTCTGTCCGTCTCGCGCGATGTCGCTGCGCTTCCCTTGCGGGTATTTTGCCACCACATTTCCTGAATTTGCGCGGAGGCGATCAAAGTCCGACAGTAGCGCCGAAGCGACCGCCTTTGTTCGCATCTCCTTGGCGACCGGGCGAGCGCTTGCAAGGAGGGGCGGCGGAACGGGAAGAAACGTAGGTCCCTCCTTGACCGCCCTCCGCAAAGGGATTTGGATTCTTTTTCCTTCCCGCCGGCGATACGTCGAGCAACAGGGCACCGGCAAAGAAAGCGAGCGCAAAGCTGTGATCTTGTCGTGCAGGGCGCCTCCCACAAGTTGACCATCGCCGTGCTGATGGAGTACATTCGCTCGCTCAACCACTTCCAGATCGGCGTGCAGGTCAGCTCAGGTGCCGCGACCCGCCGCCCGCAGCCGCGCGCCGACTGACTTTGCCCGCCGTCCTTTCAGCACTACTTGTACGAGCTGGTGATCAAGACGCTGGTGCAGCACAACCTCTTCTACATGTTGCATCAGTTCCTGCAGTACCACGTCCTCACCGACTCCAAGCCGCTTGTGAGTCGCGCCAACGCCGGGTCGCCCCGCCTCCGCAGTTTGCCCGGAACGCGCTCCCAAGGTCTTGCGCAAATTGTCTTTCGTCCGCAAAAGACTTTGGCTGAGCATCGAGGCGTCCCCCCCGCCGGTCCCGGACCGGCGTCGGGGTCCCGGCCGGCGACGGCAAAAGCCGTATTTGGAAGTCGGAACGCGCCGCCGAGCTAAGCGAATCCCGAGTTCCAGGAAAGCTTTGGCGGGAGACCGCGCGGCGCAAAGTACTTGGCGACATGACGTTAGCACACGGAGGACTCCCCGTCGTCCTTCTCAACGCTCTCCCAGACGTGTCGGCGAGTTCCAGATTTGAGGGCTACCCGTGGCGTTTGCAAGTCTGATTTGAAAAGCAGCCGTGAGCGCACGTGACCACTTGTCTTTCAGGCCTGTTTGCTCCTGTCCCTGGAGAGCACGTACCCCCCCGCCCATCAGCTGTCCCTGGACATGTTGAAGGTACTCCTCCGCCACATCTTTGTGCTCTTCTCGACTAGTCCACCGACACGCTTCCCTTTGGCCGCGCCTCGCAGCGTCTGTCGACGGCCAACGACGAGATTGTGGAGGTTCTGCTGTCCAAGCAGCAGGTCCTGGGCGCGCTCAGATTCATCCGCAGCGTCGGTACGTCACGTTGCCACGCAAAATGAAGGCTGGAGGTACCGCCGCGTTTGTCCTCACGATGCGCGCGCGCGCGCGCTCGCCCGCAGGCGCCTACGACAACATGTCCGCCCGCAAGTTTCTGGACGCGGCTCGACAGACGGGAGACGACATGTTGTTCTTCACCATCTTCAGGTCCTTCCAGCAGAGGAACCAGCGCCTCAGGGGGAACCCGGCGTTCAACCCGGGTCAGTCATTTTCAACCCGCTGGATCACAATTAGTCGACGCGCACGGGAAATAACCACTAGCACCACTTAGTGGACCAATTCCAAATTGGACGAGCGGGGGTCCCGCCCGACATCGACGTGTGAGGTCTCCGCTAGCCTAGCGGTTAGCCCCTCGTGATGAGCGCTCGCGTCGCGCTAATCGCCGTTTCGCAAACTTCACCGTCGGAACGGCCGCAGCATACCGCGGCCGGGATGAAAGACTCGGAAAGCTTTCGATTCCGTTCTCAAAACGCGGCCGGCCGTAGCAAAAAGCTCATTTAGTCATTAGCGCGGTGGCGCGATCCCGTCGGCGAGCTTTCTTACCGGCCGGCGTTCACTTGAGCGCAGCCCGGACCGAGACCCTTCCGGCTTCGACATTTCCCGACGCGGATTCGTCCTCTCAAGCCGCACGCTCGTCGACGTCGTTTTCGGAGCGTCTTTGGTACCGGGAGGCGGCTTGAGTCGTCCGAGGTGCCCAACGGACGAGCGTCGGTGGCGTGGGCGAACGAGCCGGTTTTGAAGTGGCCGCCCGCCCTCCACGTTGCGGTTTCCTTGCTTTTAGACCGCGTGGCTTCCAATAACGCTGCTCGGCCACTGAATGGCTCCGAGCCGAAGTCGAGGCATCGCGGCACAACGCGGGGCTTCCGCCATCTGGTCCGAGTGGAAGGGTAGCTCGTCGCGCCACCGGACGCCACGGCGAGACACGTCGGGAACCGCGGTTTTGGGAGCGCTCGGGCGAACCGGCATTATTTCCTGCCGAGCCGTTTGGCGATCTCTGAATCGCGCGTGTTTGTCTGCAGGCGAGCACTGCGAGGAGCACGTGCTTCACTTCACGCACGTGTTTGGTCAGCAGGCGCTGATGAGAGCGGCCACCACCTGAACGCCATCAGCACGACGTCCGGCCACCTCATTTGCTTTGCTCATTTGCTTTGCTGTGTGTGTGTGTGTACGTTCTTGGTTCGAGGCATCCGGGTCGGATGCGCGGCCGTCGTCCAAGTCAACGTGAAATAAACCATCCATGTCAACGGTCCTTCAAATGAGTGACTGCAATCTGCTTCCCGTTTCAATGCGGGATCCGCAAAAAACGTGGACAGCAAGAGGCGTTTTCAAACTTTATTTTTGTACTTTCATTGACGACTTTGTCCACTTGTTGAGTGTGTGTGTTCACAGTCAAGTGCTGGTGTGATTGATTGATTGATTGACAGTCGACATGAACTCAGAAATCATCAAAATTTGCATCTCAGGAAGCAAAACAAAAACAGTTTGAGAAGAACCCTGAGCGCAACATCATCTTTTATTTATGACGTGTGTGTGTGTGTGTGTGTGTGTGTGTGTGTACAGAAATCATCAAGCACATTTGATTAAACATGCAAAAAAAAACAACACTATCCTAAGTCACCCAGAAGAAGCGAAAAAAAATATCAAATAATAATAATAATTTTCATGTTCACAGTTTAACAGCAAGAACAAAAGATTTGATGATTAAAGCTTTTTTTTTTCTCTCTCTCTCTCCTTGGATAATTCTATTGCTCGTTTGCAGCCCGGCCAGCTGCGTTCCGCGTGCAACTCGATGACCTCATCCAAGTACGCTTGCGAATCTTCAGCCTCACATTTGATGAACTTAACTGAACTTCCAAACGTCAACTCGGCATGTTTGATCTGACTCGACCGGACTTTGCTTTGCCAAATAAATACTTCTGGGAACAATCCACCCGGCTGGCCACGCGCGCAAGTCACACGTCGTTTTCGGGGAGGGGACGGGGGGCGGGGGGGGCTTAGCTGAACTATGCTGACGGGGAAGTAGGAGAGTCCCTTTGACTTGGGGAAAAATCTGAGAAAACGGCGGCCGGGCGTTGCCAATGTGAAACTCAAGAGTAGCGTCATCTGCCGTGACGTGGACAAAGTCACTGCATTGACTTGTCCGGGTCAGGCCAGCACCTAAGATGGCTCGCAACGTCCAGCCCGATGCCCTCGGCGTGAGCCGCTTGCCACGAGCGGTCGTTTGGATGCACCGTCGCGTACTTTTGACACTCAAGAGATGAAAACCCGTGCTGACCGTGTCCAAACGCAAGCAGTACTACTCGAGCCCGTGCACTCTACTGTAGTAGTACTGGTATCAAGGGTAGTAGAAGTAAGAGTAGCAGTTAGTGTCCATCCAGTTGGAGCAGTGAAGTCATGGTGACTTGTTCATTTTATTTGAGGGCAAACCAAACAGCCCCCCGGGCCTCCCCCCAACACACACGCATTGAACCAAAAGTCAAGTTGAATCCAGTGACACAAGATAGTGTTTAACTTTCACACCCAAAAACATTTTTCCGCACGCATTTGATTGTCTCAGACGCCAAAACAAGTTTGAAATTAAAAGTAAGAATTCATGTCTATCAAGTGTGAACTCTAGGGGGAACAGGCACGTTAACGAAGTGTTTTATGGCAAACGCGCAAATGCTGACTTCGCCTGCCGTCCGCCTACGGTACCTGGCCTGTTTTGCAGTTAGCGATGTCACGTCCGAGCTAAACTAACAGTTGTCCCTTGCTGCGTACGACTCATGTGTTAGCGCTCGCCGCTGAGAGTTCGAAGGCGCCGGCTAGCCGCGGAGAAGTCACGTTAGCCCTTATCAAGCTGAGGCGAGGCCTCGCTAAATGCTAAAGCTAATCACTCTTGTCGTGCGCCGAGGGCCAATCGCACGAAACGGGCCACCGTAGCCGAAGCGGACGATCGGACACGTTGTGCCAGCTACCGGGCACCGCGCTAGCGAGCAGGAAGACGTGATTGACAGCGTTGAGGTAATGGGGACCCGGGTCGGCGCCGAGGCGGCCGGCCGACAACAACACAGGGCGATCACGCGCACGCACACGCACATCAACTTAGGACATTTGTTCACTTGAAAAAAAAAAGAAAAAAAAAAACTCCCAACACCAAAAGTCAAAGAACAAAAGTCAACTGAGAGGTTCTCGCACACAAGATGAGGGGCGGTGGCGGCCAACGTTTGTCCATCCGCCATCTTTTCCAGTTACAAGAGGTGTCACGTGACATGGGTCGGCCATCTTGATCTGATTGCTGACAAAACAAAGTTAAAAAGCTATAAAAGGATGAGTAGTAAGGCACTTGTTAGCGGTAGGGCATCTCGCGCACGCTCAGTCCACACCCACCAGCGGAGGCTCCCCATTGGCCAACGTGTGATCCAGAGTGGGCGGGGCTCGGAGCTCCAACAGGCCCTGAATCAAGGCCTGGCCCGGGAGCTCTTTGGAAACGTTTGAGTTCGGCGCCACGCGGGCGGCCGACTGGCCGGGAGGCGCGGCCTCCGGTGGGGCCGCGTTAAGTTTCGGCTCATCCTCGGCGGCGGCCGTTCCTCCGGCGGGCTCCGGGTCGGATGCGCGGCCGTCGTCCAAGTCCCTGGCACACTCGCTCCCGTTCTCGGAAGGGGGGCGGGTTTCGCTCAGCGCGGGGCCGTCGCGGTCGCCATCCTCGCTGGGCGTCTTGGCGTGGATGCGCTGGTGGCGAACCAGGCTGTGCTTGAGCGTGAACGTGCGCTCGCACGTGGCGCAGCGGTAAGGACGCTCGCCTGCGGGAAGAAACCACAACACGTCAGCGCAAGCGCCTGCGCACGCCCACGCAGACACACACTTTAAGCGCGGGGCGCTTTGCGTCCTGATCGTGTTCTGAGTGGGTTTGATCCATTAATCCGGTCGAGCTGCTCATCTGAAATATTAAGCGTGCTCAACATTTGTGGTGGAAAATGTGCATAGTTTTGGAAAGGAGAGTCGTCACACTCTCCAGCCGTTTGACTTCGACTCTTTCACATGGATGAAAGCCAGTGTGTGTGTGTGTGTGTGTGTGTGCATTCCACGTAGAAATGAGTCGGACATCTAAGAGCTTCGTTTTTCCCACAAAACAGATATCCACACACGTGCACCGAAACGGTTGATGGCGGTAACGGTAAACGGTGGTGATGCAGTGTTAGGGCTAACCCGCGTTAGCAAGCCAACTTCCCTTTTGTGGCAGCGCGATCTTCTGAAAAGGAAGCAGCGCCCGTCCTTATATGCGGAGCCTCAAAATGTAGTTTCCCAGAACAACACCAGGGGGCGCGTTCGGCTGCGTCACGTGGATTCTCAAAGGGACTTAACAAGTTGAACTTTGTTTAAAGCTTGTGTGGCGACTTTTTGGTGGCCTGGGAAAATCACTCTGTTTGGAAATCGGGGGCCTGTTTCCAAAACGGACTAAAAATGTGAAAAGCAAAGTTCATCGGGCCGGACGGGCTCAACAGCGTCTTCGTGGCACGTGCGTGTGCGTGCGTGCGTGCTTGGCGTGACGTACCGGTGTGCGACCTCATGTGTCTCGTGAGGTCCTGCAGCGACCAAAATCGTTTGGCGCACACGTCGCACGTCTTCTTTTTGCGCTTGTCCACGACGGCGGCGCAGCCGGCGGCCAGATCCCCCGTCTCCGAGCTTTTGCCGTCGTCACGCTCATCATCTGTGCGCTCGTCGTCATCGTCGTCGTCGTCGTCGTCGTCGTCGTCATCGTTGTCGTCGCTCTCCGGGGCATCGCTCTCCCCCGGCCTCGCTGCTCCTCGCTCATCCTCGTCATCCTCTTTGCCCTCGGGCTTCACCTCGCATTTCTCCTGGTCGGCCTTCAGGGGCGCCGCCGCCGCCTGCTGCTTCTCCTCGGGCGGCCCCTCCTGGCTCAGGTGCGCCCTTTCATGGCGAGCGAGGGTGGTGGCGTAGCGGAAACTTTTGTGGCACGTTGCGCAAACGTGCTTCCAGTCCGACGGAGGCTTGACGGCAGCCGCGGGGACATCCATTTCGTCCGTCGGGGGGGCGGCGGGGGCCTTGGCTTGAGGGACGGGGGCGGGGCCCGGGGCAGCCGAGTTTGATAGTTTGAAGTCAATCAGTTTGGGGCCGAAGTTCAAATCCAAACTTTTGTTGCTGTGGCAATCGTCGTCGTCGTGGTGATCGCACTGAAGCCAAAACAAACAAAAACGGTCACCACCATCCGTCCATGTACTGTGGCGCCTTGAGATGCACGTCAAGTTTGTTCCGTAGTACAGTTGCAACATGAATCCAACCCCCCCGCCCCGCAATTATGCAATATATACAGTATATATATTGTGTGTGTGCGTTTTATGACATTTTACGACAGAAAAAGAGCGCTCGACATGATCTTTCTTTATGCAAAGAGAACGTAAAGGAGGGAAGAGTTTGTGCACCCTGTTTGAATGCTAAAATCAAATATTCAGTGTGTTGCTCCTTCCGGTGCTGGGCCACCGGGAGGCAGTACAGTCCAATCATGCGGACACAAACGAAGCCCACTCGACTTTGACTCGGCAGGTTGCTGCAACATCAGCCGTTTCTCATAGAGAGAGGATCAAGAATATATACTGTATGCCTGTGGGCGTGGTTGCATTATCTCGCCGGGCTGTTTGCGTTCAGCTATTCGTTGCTTCCGAGCGCTAGCGCATCAAAGGCATTTTGCATTTTTTCTCAACATTCAACGATGCCGACTTCCCCTCAGCAAAGCTACGCGTTAGTCAAGTCAGCGGCAGCTGCCCGCTTCCGCCCGGCCGCTCGAGTTCGTGCCGGGTTACCTTGGCGCTGGGCGGAGCTTGCTGGGACGCGTCGGTTGAGGTCTCCGCTGCCCCCGGCTGCTGCGCGAGCTCAACAGCTTGCGCGGGACTCGAACCTGCTGCCCGCAAAAAGCAAAAATTCCTGATGACGACGCCATCGGCATCCTTCACTGGCGTACGCGGGAGGGGGACTCACCTGGGGTGGCCGTGTGGGCGGGGCTGGGTGGCGCGGGCTCATCTCCCTGCTGCTCAGAGGGCGCGTCTTTGACGGGAGCGGGAGGGGTCGTGCCGAGCGGAGACGAGTCGCTGGCCAGCTGCTCGGCGTCGGACTGACTCTCTAACCAGAAGAGGAAAAAAGCGTCACGGCCAGCGAGCGAGCGGTGTCGGCCCGGCGGCGTTTTCTGGCGCGAGCCTCACCGGCGCTCTCGTGCGAGCCGTCGTCACTTTCTTTCTTGGCGAAGACGCCGTTGCGCCTCAGCGTGCGGTTGGTGACGCCGTGCTTCCTCAGCAGGTGGCGCTCACAGTTGGACTTGGTGGAGAAGAAGGCGTCGCAGCGCGGGCACGGGAACGGCTTCTGGCCTGAGGACGGACGGGCGCCCGGCGCCGGCGTCGTCGTCAGTGCGGATGGCGTCGGCGGCGACGTCGGCCGTCGGGCGAGGCGGGCCGACCTACCGGTGTGCGTGAGCATGTGCCTCTGCAGAGAGCTGGCCCACGGGAAGACGCGAGGGCAGAAGGGACACGTCATCTTCTGCACCGAGTTGGAGTAGGCGTTCTTCTTGCCTTTGGACTGGGGAAGCAACGCCGCCGTCTTGGCTTCCTCTCGCGGCCCCGCCTCCTTGTTCACGCCTCCTCCCGCTCGCTCGCCGTCTGCGCACGCAAAGGTCACAGGGTCTCGACGCGCAACAAAAACAATCGCCGCCGCGTTTCCGACAGGGATGGGGCC